AAAGACGCACCAAAAACTGCACTCAATCAAATTTTTGATTATTTTGATATGAAGGTGCTTCAGACGCCGCTGCCCAAACCTGCCCCCGCCCGCCCATTGCCCATTGATAAAGCCAGAGACGAACAGAACCAACAACAACACTGCACTGCGAGTGCCGGGAGAGCCACAAGTATTTACTTGGGCTCTGGCCTATAACAACAACAGGCGCAGCAAGCCAGTCGATGCCTAGTCGATGCCCGACCAGAGAGCGGCAGAGGGCCGCTCATGATTGCAGCTGCGTCTCAATCTGCTTGTCAGCGTATCCATATCCATGGTATTCGTGGAAGTTCCACTTGAGCGCCTCAATTGTAAGAGAATACGAATTTAATTGCAGAACACAAACATTAACCACGAACCAACGCGCAGGCCGTGGCCCTTGCCGAATGCCCAGAGAGTTCGGTGAAAAGCAAATATTGTGAGTGCGTAGTCGAGTGCGATGCTGAGCTTCAACGGCCTGCTGAAAGTTATCTTCTTTATCTACACCAATCAGTAATTGGAGTTGCCTTTGACGCGTTTCTAGCGAAAAATGTATTCTATTCGTATGTCCTCGACTGTGTTGCTTAATTTAGCTTTTGCCATTGTTAACAGGCCTTGCATACAAATTTTAAATTCTAGAAACAATTTTTTTTTTTTTATTTTTTTATTTGTAGATTCTTAGTAGCCAAATTTGTATTGAATTTATAGGTAAATTTTTAAAAATGTTGAATTTTAATACTGTTAAATATAATATAATAAAATAATTAAAGCAGTCTAATTACAATTTATTTGTTTTTAAATTAACTCGAATATATTTGTATTTTGTATATTGAATATGAACGTAAATAAAATATTTAAAAAATATGAATATAAATAAGAAATGAATAAAAAGATTGCTGAAGTTGAAAAGCAGTGTGAAATATATCATTATATTTCTACTATATCAGTCGTCGTCAATATCAAAGAAAACAAAAAATTATTCATTGAAAGCAAGGAACTTTGTTTCATATTTAAAATCTATATAGTCTTCTTTTGTATTCTTATTATTATTAAAATTATTATTATTATTATTATTATTATTATTATTATTATTATTATTAATATTATTATGTTAAGCATAAGTAGTTCGTTCTATTGTCAGTTTTCTTTAAACTATTATCAGCATAATAAAAGTTCGAAGAAGAAGAAATGCTATGAGGTGTATGCATACACCCTAATATGCTATAATATATCGAATATATTTATCTAGAAAATCCCAAATGGGGCATACAAATTTTATTTACATAAACAGCTCATTAAATTTCACGACAGCTATCAATTTAAAAATTGAATAAAAATAAGAAAAAAAGTGTGGCTAGAAATATAAAAAAAGTAACTGAAAAATAAATATTGAGAAAAAGCTCATTAACCTTTATTTGTCTACGCTCGACTATTTGTGCACTTGAATCACGAGATCTAAAGAAAAGAAACCAATGAAGGTAACAGCTCAAGTGCGCAACACAAATACTTGTATAAAGAGACAACGATAGTGAGAGAGAGAGAGAGAGAGGGAGATCGGACTTGATTCGTATTGTCGATCTGTCATTTGTGTTGTCGATCGCGCCATTGTGAGAAGCTGAAACTGAACTCGTTTCAGCGTTCGGCTCGACTCGATGTTGTTTGATTTGCTGACTTGATTGATTGATTGCTTGACGCGGCGCGCCGTTTGTTTGAAGTAATGATTTTCGATTTTCGAGTTTTGATTTCTGATTTTTGCGCGGCTTGCGCCTCCAACTGGAACTCGAATTGAGCGTGATATACAAATTTTCTGTATTGGTTCCCACAAATAATGACATTGCGATATTCTACCAGGCACGCACAACAATTGACATCCACGCAGTGCAGCTTCACAGCCTGATTGACAGCCTAAAGAGAGACAGACCTGTGGAGGGAGTGAGCGAGAGAGAGGGAGACGGGGAGATGTCCCTTTAAATGCGTGACTGTTGCGTCTTAACTAACCCAAATATTTCGCATGCCAAAAGCTGCATCCGAATCCCCAGCCTGGACAGACTAATCAACAATGCATCGATATAAGAGCTGAAGCTGAAGTTTCTGTGAAACTGCCGTCAGCTGATGCTGCTGATATGGCCAAGCTAAGTAATCCCAAGCAGCGTCTGCCAATCGTCTGGCTCAGACTCGCACTCACACTCGCTCTCCTCTTTCTCTCTCTCATTCTCTCTCACTCTCCCTTTGATCTGTCGTCGTCTGGCGCTATATCTTTAGCATCTGCAGCCATAAATAAGCGCAGACAGTCGAATGCTTTGCTGGCAATGGCCTCGGCTAAGCCCTGACATACGAAGTAACCAAGTAGGCAACATCTCGTACAGCTCTCTCGCTCTCTCTCTCTCTCTCCCTCTCTAGAGTCAAGCGCAGGCGCAGCGTTTCGCACATTCGATGGCAGATTGGCAAAGGTTTACGTTGAAGTTGAGTACTTAAGGAGTGCATGCAAACAACTTCAATACTTAAATTAAGATGCCTAAATTACATTTCAAATATACTTAAGACTCTAAATCAACCAGAAGAATCTCTATTAAAATCTATAATCAAGAAGAACTCGCTTCATATTACATATTTATTTTCTGAATATTATTGTAAGAAAAAAATTATGTAGATAATGAAAATTTTGTATAATTAAATGCTGATAGAAGTCTATAAATATTGATTAAAAATAAAAATTAAAAAATATATTTATATATTCAAATAATATATTAAATAAATATGAAATATGCATTTTTTTTTATAACTCCACAATATATATAAATATTTTTTAATTCAAAACAAATTAATTAACAAAATTAAAAAAAAAATATATATATATTTATATATATATATATAAATATATATATATAATAAAAAATATATTCGTTTTTTTTTTTATAACATAAAAAAAGTTTAATGAGAATAAATTTGAGAATATTTCTATAACATACTTATGTAGTGATCTTAGATCTTAGACAGCTCGACTCCAACTTTCTCTTAAATATTCACACAAAAAGATGTAAGCGTCGAAGCAACTTTCAGTGCAACTAATACAAATAATAATGTCAATTAGACAAGTCGTTAACAGATGCCCAGCGCCAGAGCCAGTGATATTGGTAGTGCTCTTATAAACAAATCCCAATTTCAATTTCGCAAATCCAATCCCAATCCCAAATCCCGAACTGAAATCGTATCGCTAGCCCAGCAGCTGCTAGCACGAAAAATATCGCAAGATGCCAAACAAAACTCGTGAACTGTCAACATCTGAGCTGGAGTCGTAGTTGGAGTTGGAGTCGTAGTTGGAGCGAGGTTTGCGTGTATGTCGCTTGGCTCATATCAGTCAAGACGAATCTCTCTGGGCCGGCGAACAAGCAGACAAACACCAGGACAGCAGGCAATCGGACAGAAAGTGAGAAGCCGCAGAGAGCGAGATTTTAATTACATCTGCAATGGTCGGCGACTGTGACTGGGATTCGGATTGAGGATTGGACTCTGGAAACTGGGGACTGGGGACTGGGGCTACGGGACTCGCATTATGGCGTACGTAGCTGGGGCGCTGGCAATTATTTACATTAACACGATCACAACTCAGAGACACTGCACATGCATCATCGTGTGTACGCGATGTCGATCGAGATCGAGACCCAGAGACCGGGCACCCAGACGGCGACAGGCGTCGTCACTGTTGCCGTCGCAGTCGCAGTTGGAGTTGCATTCGGAGTTGCAGTTGGAGCCTGGAGTCTGCCTTGTATGCATATTAATTTATTGGAATCATGTTAGTGAGTCGATATTGATACAAATCCATTTTCGATCGCGCTGCCTCGATACCAGAACAAGCTGCGCCGCTGGCTTTGCTCCGCCCCCCTCTCCAGCCACATCTGCATTCTGCTGGCCCTGGGCACATGCTGCGGCCCAGACACAGCCGGCAGCCACATTACACAACGCACACTCTCAGCAATCGCTACCAACCGTCCCAGTGGCAGTGGGCAGTATTCGTTTCCCCCCTCTCGATCTCATTCGCCCGCGAATCGCATGCGCAGCGATCGTATTGAGCTTTAATCTCCAGGCTCTGACTAGCATGCGATTGCGGACAGAGTGGACAGCAAGACGGAAAACAGCAGCAACAACAGCAGCAGCAGCAGCAACTGCTGCTACATGCCACATTTGATGGTTGCTGTTTTCTAACTAAATTCAATCGATTAAACATTCGATTTACTGCCGCACACGCTGCACTTCATCCTCAACGGACTTAGTCTTCCGCGAATCACGTGAAAAAAAAATTGAATGGAAATTTATCTCAGTGAACGAAGGTTTTATTTACGATTTCTACAAAGAGTTTTATTTATTATAGATTAAAGTTTAATGGTTTTTAATCTTTATACCTTTTGCATCTATGAGATTTAAATAAAATATTCCAGAAATTTTCTGAATTTTTATTTGATTTTTTTATGTATAATTAATTTAAAATATGTATATTGAAGTTGTTTAAAAATCTTATTGCAGCGAGTCTTGTAACTGTAAATAAAATTATACATATATATAAATTTGATATAAAATAAAATATTGATATATGATATATGTACATATACATATTAAATAATATGAATAAAATATTTTATATACTATTAATAATTAATATTTAATATATAAACCACAAATTACATTGTTGAATTGTCAAATCAAATTTAAAATATCTAAATAATATATTTGATATAAAATATATCATTGGTGTATATATTAATATATATTATAAAATAAAATGCAAGTTTTAATTTATTTTGACTGTCAAATGCTAAAATGTTAAATACATAAATTATTATATTATATTATGAAAAAATATTTGTGATTTATTAATAAAAAATATTTAATATATAAATAAACCATAAATAAAATAAATATTAATTAAAATATTTGATATACTATAAATAATAAATGATATTTAATATAAAAATAGACCACAATAAAACTTATTTTGATTCTCAAATCAATCAACGCTCATTTATTGTCTGATTTAATGAATGATTTGTCGAATATAAATATGTATTTGCTGCAAGTGTTTGCCCATTAGAGTAGAAATTGTATAAAGGTATTGTATTTCTGTTATAATCCCAAAGCGTTCTTCTCCAGTAACGCCCCTACTTCCTGTACCACATTTGCAGGGTGCGCATGCGCTTGATCTTCTTCTGCAACTGCAGGATGCCGTAGAGCAGGGCCTCGGCTGTGGGCGGGCAGCCGGGCACGTAGATGTCGACGGGTATGATGCGGTCGCAGCCGCGGACCACCGAATACGAGTAGTGATAGTAGCCGCCGCCGTTGGCGCAGCTGCCCATGGAAATGACCCAGCGCGGCTCGGGCATCTGGTCGTAGATCTTGCGCAGAGCCGGCGCCATTTTGTTGGTCAAGGTGCCGGCGACAATGATGAGGTCCGTTTGGCGCGGCGAGGCGCGAAAGACGACACCAAAGCGATCCATGTCGTAGCGCGGCCCAGCAATGTGCATCATCTCCACGGCGCAGCAGGCCAGGCCAAAGGTCATCGGCCAAACGGAGCCCTTGCGACCCCAGTTGAGCAAGTCGTCCAATCGAGTCACCGCCCACTCGCCCCACCTCGGCTGCTTGCGCCCAAACGGCGAATAGCCCTTCCTGGCCGGCATGCCGCACTTGTCCACATTGTGCATGGTCTTCTGCTTGCGCACGAACGTTGCATTTAGCAAGGAGCCCAGTCGAGCGCGACGCAATATGCCCATAGACAACATTTTAACTATTATTAGAGTTTGGAAAAGTTTGAAATTTCGGAATAAATATTATTTTTTAACTGTGACACTTTCCCAGCTGAAGTTAGAAGACTTTCAATAGGAATTCAGAAAACCTCTGTCAACTTTTGCTTTGTCGTTTTACAACACTTCTGGCTATTGGCAGCACTGACCAAACAACACTGGTCAGTGTTGGCAGTCACTTATCGATATTTCAAGTGTTGGTAAATTTCAGAATATTTGTTTGTTGGGTCATTGAGTTGGTTAATTTAATATGATAATGGTATTTCCAAGTAGCTTGATTAATACATATATGGAAAGGGTTTATTGTTAAAGCAAAAGCAAAAATTTTTGTTAGTCTGAGCTCAGCTGAGAATGGCTATATAAAGTTGGAATCTAATTGATTCTATAAATAAGTGCCTTGGTAGAGCTCATATTGCTGTCCAAAATACATTATAGCTCTGAAAACAGGGTAAATGCCAGACAAGAACTGCCAGCTACAGTACACTGACCAACTTGTATAATACACGTTGTATTACTTTCCAATATTTTCTCATACATATCTAACATACAAATAATTGATAGTTTCTACATAAAGATATTAAACAAACTCACACACACACATACACAGTGACACGCTGATACACCCACGTCTAGGACATTAGAAGGTCTGTTGACAAATGCGAAACTAAAACTTGGTCCAACGCCCATTTCGGCATTTTCGTCTCGCTTTTGTATGGAAGCGACTTTAATCATTCCGTTCGCGTCATGTCGCACTAATTGAGACAATTAATTGTCCAAAATATGTCTGTGGAAGTGAGGAGAGAGAGTGAGGGAGAGCAGGAGCTTGATGAGAACTTTCCTGTGTTCAATTGATTAAAGTGTGATGCGAAATGGGCGTGGTCTTCATGTGAAGACAGTCGTGCAATCTAGAAAAATTATTGCATCAAATCAAAAGGAAAAAAAAAATTCCGGTGTGCTGTTCAGTCGAACAGTTCGATGTCATATTGCTGGATCCATGGGAGGGCAATGAGAACAAGAGAGAGGGGCCTGGTCGAGTGAGGAAGAGGTAGGAGCAGAGACAGGGACAGGGATAGGGGCAGGGGCTGGGACAATGACAACGACACGTTGACGTCTGAGTCCAACTTGGAGAGCTGCTGCTTGTTTGGCTGTATGCCTAAGCATGCTGGGCATGTCAACAAGCTCGACTCGAACCTGGAGCTGCCAACGGCCACAGCAAACAAGTCAACGCGCGCTGACAGCAACATGAGCGCAACAGCAGCAACAGCAACAGCAACAGCAGCAGCAACAGCAACAGCAGCAATAACAAACAAGAGCTGAACGATAGTCGATGCTGCGCTCAATGATTGGGATTGAGATCGGCATCTCGGCATCTCGGCATCGGCATTGGGTTTTGGTTTTGGTTTTGGTTTGAGTTTGGGTTTGTGTTTGGGGCTTGCGATTCGGGGCAGTGTCTGTGCTCATCTTCATCTCTGGACTGATCGCACGCACTGAGACACAAACCGCGTGTGTTTTTGTCGCAAATCGCCAGATTGCGATCTCATTAAAGCGAATTATTTGTGTTGCTGCTTATGTTCGAGCCTGTTGCATCTCTCACGCTCGCTCTCCCAGGGGCCCCAGGCTCAGGGGCGCATCTTCGATCCAGGAGCAGTCATTGCCATTGGCTTAGCTCTCAGTCGATTGCTGCTGTTGCTGTTGCATTCGTGATTGTTATCTCAGCAGCAATATTGTTGTTGTTGTTGTTGTTGTTGTAGCTGCTGCTGTTCCTGTTGCTGTTGCTGAGTCGTTCTCGTTGCGATTTGCCAATCGTTTAAGCTTCCATTTCCCCCTCCAATTCCCATGTTGCTGCTGCTGCTGCTGGAAGTAAAATGTGCGATTAACGCTCTGGCATTGCCATAATTTATGCTTTGTCCGTTGTCAATAAGTTTTAGGGTTGTCACCTTTCCCTGTGTCACACGATCGGTGACCAAAGTCAAATTTATGCCCAACGCTTAAACTTTGACTAGCAAACGCAACCCAGCAGCATTCAGCAACAACATTCCTTTGCCTACATATACTCTTATTTATTTATAGATCTTTGACTCCAGCTATGTGATTCAGTAATTGTAGATCAATCGAACAAACCATAAATGGCTAGAGCCTCGAATCTGAATATGATTTTGTTTTAATTTGAGTTAAAGTTTTTTGTGCATTAATATTAGTTTGAAATATTTTTAGTATTTATATACCATATTGCCAATAGGAAATCAGGGTTTAATAGTTTTGGTATTTAGTTTTAGCTACGTTGTTGTTTACAATTTACTTATAACTAATTTTTAGTATTTTCTGCATTAAGATTAACTTAGATATATTTTTAAAATTTATTTACAAATTTTAGTGCTAGCTTCGTAGCTCTTGTAAAATTGCTAATAAAAAAAAGTTTAATTTATATTATTTATATATTATATAAAGAGGGAAAAAATATTTTAACATTGTTTTATATATATATTTATATTATTATATATTTATATACTAAAATATTATAAAGACAGGAAACATATATTGACAACATATATTTTTTATTTTTCTTTACAGCAAACATTTAATTATAATTTTGCTTGAATTTATATATCTGTAATATATTCAAATTAAATTATAATAAAATGTTTACTGTATGCGCGAATATTAACTAAATATTTTTATTAACTGGAATTTATGATTTTATAAAAGCAAACCACAAAAAATTTAACATTTCGCACATTCGTTCACCCATATTTAGCTACTGAAATAAAAAGGAAACTATAGTAAATTGTGTTTTTTTTTTTTTTTTTTTTTTTTTTTTTGAGTTGAGTGCTGTTTGAGCTGCCTTTATCCAGCATAGAGCAAAACTTTGATTCACTGTTGACACATGGCCAAACATATTTGTTGGCCTCTGCACCGGTTGAGCTATTAGATGCCCACAGACCGCATCAATCCTGAAGTTCTTGTTGTTGTCATGTTGCCAGCCACAACAGATGACTCTGGTTAGAAAGCGGAGCTTGTCCCACGAGTCTAATCAGTTGGTAATTTGAAGGGCACAGCGAGTGATACCTGAAGCATCAACAGAGATGCCTCACTCTGCTGCCCAGACACATTGCAGGTGATACAAAAAGAGTCGCCGCCGACGCCAGCAGCAGCAGCAGCAGCAGCAGCAGCAACAGCAACATCAGCAGCCCTTTCGCTTTTTAGGATTTCTATGGCCATTTGTCCACTCGCCGGACATTTGGCCAAATGAATGGCTAGCGATTTGGTGGGTCAAAGTGAATGAATTAGTTCCTTAGAGAGTAGCACAGGGCAGAGATTTCGGTGAGCTGATGAATCGTTCTATTATGCCTCTCGCACCCCCATCTCCAACCCCCTCAACCCCACTCGCCCCCTCAGCGAGCTGCTTGTGTGCGCCTGATAAATTTGCTTTATTGATAATAAATTTAATTTGCCAACATGCTTAAAAAACCGAAGCGTTTAAATATTTATTTAAATTTGAAATTGAAATATCGTATTGGGTGCGCGTTGAGAGATTTATGCGTTTGCATCAAACTGTGAGATAAATTGCCGCCAATGAAACCATAAGAAAAAACACAACAAATGTTTACACTCGAGTATGTGTGTGTATGTGTGTGTGTGTGTGTGCTACTGTAGGGTATAAATATTGATAAATACTTTTGTTAGTCCATTGCGTAGTTCAAATACTCAACTCATTTATTGCTGCTGCTGCTGCTGCCGGTAGATGTTGCTGTTGCTGTTGCTGCTGTTGCCGTCTTCAATTGTAATTAGGCGCTAGATTTGGCAGACTGCTGGCATTTCAGCAATGAGCCGTAAATGGATCTGCCTCTGGTCTCCATTTGGCCACTGGGCTTTCGCTAGCCATTCCATTGCACGTGGCCAAAACCTGTTGCTGCTGCTGCTGCTGCTGTTGCTGCTGCTGTTGCTGTTGCTGTTGCTGCTTTTGTTGTTGGCGTTGCGCATGCGTGGACTTTTTGGCCTTTGGCTAGTTTTCTATTAATTACACTGATTTATGTGCTCATTGTCCATTGTTGCAGTCGCTGGCCACTCACTGCCGCGCGTTGACTTTATGATGGTTCACTTTTAATGGATCGTTGCCAGCGACGACAAAGAAAAGAAAAATTCGGCAATTGCAATTGCGCTGGCCATTGTTATCGTGGGCCCCGAAACGATTCAGATTACAATACGCCTAACGAGATGCATAGATAAATAAGGAATAGTCGAGCATATGCGCCACAGATACCACAATAGAAAAGCTTGCTAAATGCTTTCTTCACATCCCCATTGTAACTCTGCCTGTCATGATGCTAATTCGAATTCAGTTATGGGTTCCTAGCGTGCTTGACTGATCCCCGGCTATAACTGGCGGAAATAGTGATGTGATAGACTATAATATAGGACAGCATAACAAGAGAGAGAGAGAGAGAGAGAGAGACAAATATTCCACACAATAGTTCTACACATATAATATATTCCTGAGTCATTGATAATCAAAATTGTATAATTATCATTATTCTAAATTACATAACTCAACAGATGTTTCTAACCATTCAATCCATTTAATTATCATAATGAAATGTTTCAAAGTTCCTATTATTTCACCAACACAATGCATTCACACACACACACACACACACACACCCATGCATATTCCTATATCAAATGGTAATTATCTAAATTCCAACTAAGTAGAACTCGATGCCATTGTGCTGGCTGTTCAGCAACTGTTTTGTTTATTTGTAGTGCCCGTCTAATAGGACCCTAGTGGCAATGATGATGCACTCGTCGTGGCGAATGTTTTGACGGATTGTAAACCCATCGACAGCACATTAGGCACTCAGCATAAGCAGGCGGACAATTGAATGCGATGAGTCGAGAGTGGCGGCTGCACAGTTCTGGCCACATTTTGTGGCCAAAAGTGGCCGGCAGCAATCGTTCCTCACCCCACTTCCCGCTCCCTGGCTCGCGCTCGCTTGAGTTGCCAGTGGCGATGGAAATAATTCAAATATCGATAAACAAACGCATACCACGAAAGATGCAGATACACATAGCGATGCAGATGTAGCTATAGATACAAATGCAGATACAGCTACACAAATGC